TTCAGTTTCTTTATTTCTTTAAGCCAACTGGCCCATCAGAGTTATACAACAAACATGATAGTAACAAAAAGAAAAAACATACAGAGAGAGTGAACGTAAAGAACACATACATGGGAATAATTCTATACATCAGTTTTATTTTTTTCTTAACATTGTTGCTGCGTTCAAAAATTTGTCCAAATTTACGAGATCTTTAACATTATGGGAACTTAACAGCTGAATTAATTTAAAGACACTAGGCCTAGTATAATAATACTTTTTCAAAAATTTCAACCATTCAATGTGATTGGCCAGTATTATTAGGGTATTGTTATACTCCGAGTTTCATATGCAAATTAGCATTGATTTCATTGATCCAATCAATGAGTAAAATGATAACCAGCACACAAAATTTTAGCACGCCCCGTCAAGCAAACTGTCACGCGGTTTGTAAAATGATAATAACTTTTTTCGGTATTAAACATTGAATTTATATTTAAATCTTTATTCATATTAGTTAATTAAGTGAGTTTCCTGTTTTAAAAGTACAGATAATTTATGATTAGCGCACAGTGAGAACAATTCGTGTTTAGACGGGGCGTTTAAAAGGCCTTGGATATTTTTTATATATTAGTGTGGCGATTCTCAAGGTCATGACTATTGGAGTTTAAATGTAGGGACGGTCGAGAGAAAAAAAGACAATGGGCCGTGAGTTGTTTTTGCCTACAATGAAGCGCATTGAAGTGGTAAAATTTTCCGTTTGGAAGAAACGTTCTGGGTCATGTTTTGAACGTCAATTATAACATAACGACACGCCCATTTCTTTAGAAACGAGAAAGGAATATTTGTCGTAATGTTTTAGGACACTACACTTTCCGCGCCAAGCAACATGAGTTACAATGAAATGAAGATTTTTAAATAAGAAAGAGCTATGTATAGAGTTCCCGCTTATGTAAAATACGCATTGCAACGGATTTGTACATAATTATGATTTTATCATGTTTATTGAAGTTACTATAACACATGTAACGGTCGAACACGTGCTTACTCGGTGTTTATGTAGACCGTCAATTTCATTGGCTATTATATTTATGAAATACCTGTTCTACAGGTATTCGATTGAATCATTTGACCGAATTTTCCTTTCTAAAGAAATGGGCGTGTCTAAAGATAGCTCAAAACGTTTCATCCAAACAGAAAATTTTACCACTTTAATGCGCTTCATTGTATGTAATAGTAAGATTATATGAAGAGAAATCTTCGTCATGAAGAATGGGCGGAGCGAACCTCAGCAATCAAATAAATGGATTAAAAATAAACTCCTCCAACGGCTGTGTCATATATAATGCTCAACTTGACCGCTCTTTGTATATATCGAGCTCGTAATCACTATCGAACACACGCAGTTTCAGAATGGACTCCAACCCATTCAGGTTAGCACGGATTATATGAAATAGCTTGATTCAGGCACATAGCAACCGGGGGGGGGCTTTACTTTGATTTACTGGGGAAATGGTATGCGGAAGATATTAAAGCTACTGAACTAATGAATATCCTTATAACAAGGATCTATATTTTTGAAAATATGATTGTGTTAAGATGACAAGGCCCTAGTCAGCAGGGGTGGGTACCGCTGTCTAGGGTCAAATAAAAATTTGATGAAAATTGTGACTTAAATCTGTCTTCAAAGACAAAGTTCATCTTTGATATACATGACGTTGTGTTTTCAGTATGTACCGAAATGTGAAAAAAAAAATGATATTCAGAAAGGCGACAAAAGCTTACAGTGGGAAAAAAAGTGTAGCAAGGCCTAGAAAGTTTAAATATCATTGTAAACAGCACGTGGCTTTGAATAGTTTCTTTTTGTGTGCTGAACAAAAACCAATGAAGACACACCCATATAACTGTCAACTGAACCAATCAGACACCGTTAAATATTTCAGAAATAGAAGAATTCTTCACTATGAAGAATCGATTCTTCGCGAGAAATGGAAGCATTTGATTGGCTAAATAAGTAGGTTATGTTCTAAGAACAAAAAGACAAAATCGTGGGAAGTATTGACAGGTCGAGGAAACTATTTTCTGTGACGTCGGAATAAATTGTACATGTTAAGTGAGGAAACAACGTGACTGATAAATCGACCAATCAGCTCAATGAGTTGCATTATGGTTTACTACAAAAATACTACACGTGTCTTTCTAAAAGGACAAGTGTTTAAATCGCTCTCGGAAAAACGTGAAGCATTTTTCCAAGCACTTTACACACTTAATGCAACATGAACACCATTATCTACTAATTCCCTGCTCACATTTACATACAAATGATTTACAATGATAAAAATTAGGGTTTTCTCCACTCCATTGTACAAGTCCATTTGTTGACAGCTTTCACCGTGCTGTCAGTGAAAAGTCAATTTCACGTGACTATTCCTTGGTCCAAAAACACTCAATTCTGAGGTGTGCTTACGACGTATTGTCAATGTTACCAACGTATTCAACTTCGAAATATATGCTACTCACGTTTTATGATAAATCTGTATGAGGGTTTATATAACAGGTAAATAATAAAAAAAAGTGCAACTTAAGAATTCTTTTTGTTTTTTGGTTTATAAAATGCAACTTTTAATTTCTATAACAAATAACTGAGCAACAACTAAATAAATTTAACCAGTAACATGGCAAATTAACCAACATCGAGTTAAAAAACTTGAGTCTTATTTACTTTAAGAGCGGTATTACAAAGTACTATTTAACAGGGAAAACTTGCTTTGTTTGTTAATGTGAGCATGGGGGATCTTAATAAGTGCCCAATCTTCGTATTTTTCATAACACATTTCAAAAAAATTGTTAGCTGACTTTCCTGCAGTCGTTTAAAATCGCGTTCTAAATATCCCTGACCCACGCGTTTGTAGTAAAAATAAACATGTAGTAGACCATCATGCTATTCGGCTCATTCACTGGATTGGACAATTGTTTGCTGTGAGCACCTCTATGCGCAATCGCAACAATATCCATGTAAGGTAGTTCTACTCTAAATCCATTCATTACTTTCAAATGAAAGTACAATAAACAACAAACACACCATTTGGACATAGCAACGACACGCAGTAGCTCTAAATACAAAGAACGGGAAAATGAAAGTATGAAATCATTGATTTTAAATTCAATCCAACAAAATTCATTTAAATAATAAGTCATTCAATATTTCAAACAATAAATAAATAAAATTTTACAGAAATTTTCCAATAAAATGTTTTGAAAACAATTAAATAATCACCAAAAAAATACATATACATGTATATCCATCCTAAACAAATTCAATACACCGCCGTCTTTTGAAAATCCATAGCGCAATTCACCATGTGAGTCTGATTTTAAAAGTCTTGATGTTATGCACACATCCTATCCATACATCGATAAATACTTGCTGCACTTGAGTTTTGAGTATAGTTTCAAATCAAATTCAACGCATACCATACGATTTATCGTGAAGTCCCAGGGAAGAAGACCTCAAATATATCAAATGAATTCGACACAGTTATACATAGAAGTATATTCAGCATCCAATATCAAAATAGCACAAAATACACATTCCTGTGAAATATCTTGAATCCCATCTCAATTCCTTGGATATGTGCCTCTTTGAAACTCTGTCATTATTGGTACACCGATTAATACCTCATGGTGCTTGAATTAAACGTAAGAAGAATATAACCAATAATACCTGGAAGAACAAATTTGATGTTAGAAAACTGATAGATACATATATCTTGTAACTCTGATATTTTAGTAAATATGTATAGGATCTCTTTTTCTCTCTCTCTTAAGAGCGTGTCTACGAGAAAACCATGCAGGAGGTTATGGGAGCAAGGTTCTCTGATCAACTTCATGTTTTGTATGTAAATTTCTTCTATAATATGAAATATTTTGCCACAATTTTTTTTTCAGTGTGGTCTCACTTAAGGGGTAAAATCGACACTGTTACTAAAAATAGAATTCTTGGTCCAAACGCAGGGTGAAAACAGGAATTTTATAGGATTTTATATTTAAAAATTCAGCATTTTACTTGATTATGATATAAATTATCCATATATGGTTGAAAGTAACAAGATACACTTGTTTCGGAATTTTTTTCATAATCACAAACTGTGCCCTCGTTTAAGTGCAAAAAGGTCACAAATCTGGCATATTTCCAGATTTTTGAAAATTGGTAAAAATATTAACTTTTCAAAAACCCATAACTCAGAAAGTAACGCTTAGAATCAACTCAATCTCATACCAATTATTAGACAACATGTCTGTCTAAATCATATAAAAAATCTGCCTTTGGACTCTCAAATATTTTTCTGTACTTTTTACTTAAAGTTGGACATTTTTTGTGAATTTTCAAATTTTCTCATCCCTGAACTTCAGCAAAGAGTTATTTGCTGATTTAAATATTTTCAAGAATTCAAATTTTGCTGCTGAAAAATACCAGTATATTGAACATTTTTGTTTTCAATTAATAATTATTTCTTAGGGGGTTAAATTGGGGGGGGGGGGGGGGGGTAGCAGAATTGTATTATTTTACATTTTCTTTGAGCAGGGTGATATTCACATACTGTTTAGTACCTGTTTGTCAATCAGTAGACCAAGTGTGTTCTCTCTTATCTTAAAAAAGACTTGCTTGATAAATAATAAACATAGTACACTGGTATCTACTAATAAGTAGATGACCCCTTTTAATTTGGAGTTCACAAGGTCAAAGGTCAAGGGTTATAATTCTCGATATACCAGTATGTAGATTTTAATCATTCAAAATCGTGAGGACCCATTGTTTGACAGACATGAAATTTAGTACATTGGTTTCTTGAAAAGTAGAGGACCCCTTTAGATTTTGAGGTCACATTGTTAAAGGTCAAGGGTCAAACTGAACAAAAAGGAATATCAGAGCTATTTTCTTGACAGATATATATGTATTGTAATGGCAACAACCTCAAAATGAATGAACACAAAGTTTTAAAAATCAACAAATTAGGACATTAATTATTTTATAATTTTTAATTTCATTGCATATTAAAATTTGAATATTACTCAATAATTAAGTACATTCAACAACAAATAAATTACAATGCTTGACTGCTTCCTGATATTTTATATTCACTTCCAAAATTAAAATGACCTTGAAATTACATCATGGTTCTAAATTAAGGTAAGATTTAAAAGAAAAAATCACGGTTTCCCCAAATCATATTCTGGATTATTTGCTATACCTGTATACAGGAAATTAGTCTTTATAACAGTTTTATATTTGGTAAAACTAAAGCACTGCTGACCTTGAACTTTGATCTTTTCTAAGATAACAAGCACTAAGAATTTACTCTGAATTTCTGTGTATTCCTGCAAGTGAACCCTGATACATATTAAATATCATTTGGGTTGATCTTGAGGTCTCAATCTTTCAAAATCTATAAGGTGTATCCAAACTATTTTGTTCAGTATGACACCATTTTCTTCCTATGTATCGTCCAATAACTTCTGGAGAAAATTTAACAAGCACTGAAATTTCCACTTCTGGTTTAAAGAACAACTGCACTGTCTCCAAATACACAAGAGTAGTACTCAAAGCAGGTACCTGTGAAAAAACACAGTTTTCAAATTAAATTGAAATAAACCATACAAGACATATTCTAAGATTTTTAAAGTAAATGTCATGTTTATGATAATAATACATTTAAATTAATCAATTGAAGAAAATGTCATCAAATGATTTAGGTAAGATTCTTCACAAATTCTTCTGGCTTTCTTTGAAGAAAACAAGAGCTTCATATATCCTTTAAGTAAAGTAATAGAGTAGGGAAAAATGCATGTGGCAAATCAACAGACAGACAAGGCTATTCCTTTCCATGTACTATAGTATACAGTTATGAAATGGGTATGAGGGAAATAGCAAATTTATTATTCCCCGAGGGAGGAAACTATTTCCCGGAGGAAATAATTTTCTGCCGAGGGGAACAATAAATTTGTTATTTCCCGAGTTCCCATTTCATAACTTTTTTCATTATCCCGAAACAATGATAGACGATTTAAATTTTTTTAACCAGATATTCCAACATTTTAAAAAAAACTGCAGAGGCATAATTACAAATGCATGCGGTTTAACACAATGTATGATAAGTGAAGCATCGTATCCTTAAACAATTAAATTATTTTTTAAAAAGTATTTTCACTGACTTTTCGAAAAATTATCGTTGTCTTCATTTTGGTAGAATTCAAGTATGATTTTGACATCGCACGTTGAAATGTTTTGACATCATAGCTACATTGCTAATAACATGACGTCACAGACTTGAGATTCCTTGAATGCTCCACCCACTGAACACTTTGTTTGGTTAAAATTACTAATAAATATTCATGAGGGAGTAGTCCAAGGGAGCAACTCTGATTTTCCAGGGAGTAGTCTTCAGATAAGGGCAATAGTCACTTATCGGGGAAATAGAGTTTTATAGTATTAATTTATACAGAGTAATGACAGTAGAGGTATAATAATATAACACATCTTTACCATTTCCTCAGCAGTGATACTAAGTAATTGGTAATGCTAATGCTGCATCTGCATTGTCTTTCCTCTTCTTAATTCTGGATTCTGTTGACAAAACTACATTGGAAACCCTATGTAGTAATTCTTTATAGCTCCACAGCTGAAAATCCCATTGTAAAGCCCAGTCCTAACCAGGGAAATGAATTTGAATAATCTGAAATTGCAAGAGAAATATAAGAATGAAAGGAAATATTCTTTACAAAGTATTATTTCCCAGACTTATATTTATAATATTTAATTAGTTATGTTTTAAACACAAACCTGTCAAGGAACACATGGTGACCTTTAATTTGAAAAGTACAAGTATTTGACAACTCTTTTTTCCTTTAATCATATATGAAAAGCCGAAAATCATAACTGTAGCCCGATCTTCATAACATTTCATAAATATCTGAAAAAAATATTTTGTCTAATGAGATTCTTTATAATCATGCAGCCCACATATAAGGCAATAATGGTGATTTAATTGACAGTGAAGACCCACCTATCCAATTCTTAATGTACCCTATTAGTAAACAGTCTTTGAAAACCCTGGACCTATTCAACTTTTCATTCCCTCTTCATCACCCCACAAAGGCTACTTATGCTATTTATAATTATTTTGCAATATTGTTATTTTTATTGCTACATGTACAAGTACCGACCTTGAACATGTTGAAACTTCTCTTGACAGGTTTGCTAAGTATATATTCAGGTCCAGTACAATCACTAGATTAAGCTACGTTAACGTAGGTATTTTTATAGAAATAAATTACTTTGCAATTGGTAGCTAAATAAAGCTACTTCAGGTAGGTAAATAAAGCTAACTAAGTAGGTAATTCAAGCTAGTAGACATATATAGCTAAATCTAGTGATTGTACCAGACCTAGTGTCTTGTAAAAAAATCTTCTCTTATCCACAATCAAGTCCCCATCAAAATTGTTTATTGATTTATTTTTTTACCTATCAATAAGCCTTTTTATAAGGTACATAGTATTATAAACCAAGATCCACCTACCTGTTTCTTTTTCAAATTCAAACATTGTTGATTCGGTATCATCATCACTACATCCGTCTTGCTACCAAGTGAATGTTTGCTGTCAGAATCATTTCCATCAAAATCAGAGCCATAATCTGAAGACTCGTTGACAATTCACGCACTTGAATCTTTTTCTGGGGACGAACAAAACGGTAACAAAACGTCTCAGATACGTCTCATAATGTTTACACGTGGTTCCGTACTTCGATCCCGATGGTTTTCATAATGTTTTATGCATTTTATACATAGGCCACTAGTATATACGTAACAAATTACATTCACAGGAGGGACAATTTTCTTCAAATCACACATAATTGATGCTTAAAACGATTAGATGACAGACATCTGTTTATAAACTTCGTAAACATAATCATTATCTACCTTCTCTACAGAAGAGCGCAACAGGGGAGATAATTCTAACAAAATCTAAATAAATAGTAAAATACGTTTTTTTTTTTCACAGGAAAAGCAGGGAAAAAATATTTATAGCTTTTATAAAATTAAAAATAATTATTATTGTTTATATTTGTAAATATTTTACACAAAATTCATTAAAATTACGGTTAAAAGTAAAACTTACAAAATCATGAATTTTTCCATCATTTGAATTTGAGGTAATTTCATTACGATATAACTTTTCTGTCCTTGAGAGTCCAAAGGTGGATTTTACATATTGTTTGGATAATATCCTAGAGATTCTTAAATGCACAAAATTCTGAAAAAAGAAGCGTTACTTTCTAAGAAATGTATCCCTGAATATTAACAAAAAATGAACCATTATCATTTCTTGGCACCATGCCAATATTTGTGCCCTCGTGACAGCCTTCTGTATAGGGGTTTTACAAAAAAAATGATTCCAACTTAATTTTACGACTTAGTTCTATGAGAAAACATAACCCTTTTATTTATATATTGTTTTTTTCTTTTTTACTTTTAAATATTGAAATTGTCATTTTTACACCAATTTTTTTGCATTTTCCCTTGAATATTGACCAAAATGAATTATTGGCTGTTACTAAAAATAGAAACAACCGATGCAAAAATAAACAATATATTTTTGACTCTCAATGGGTGTCCTTTAAGTTAATAATAAAAATTAGTTTGTTCTTGAGAGTGCCTATCAGAGCATTTTTCTATATATCTGCATGGTTTTCTCGTAGACACGCTCTTAATCTATTAAAAAAAATCAAAATCATCATATTGTGGCTAGCAAAACATGCATACTATCATTAAATGATAAAATGAATCAAAATTCCACCATTAAGTTCAAAATTTATGAATTGCACTAATCATTTTTTTTTTAATTAAGAAAAATATGAATGTGTTTATATAAACATCCATTTGATAATCAAGTTATGATAACCTTATTTTCATCAGAATAATCAACATTTACTTTACTATTTGTAGAAATACTTCCTACTGAAAACAATCTCACCAAATGGCATCAAAACAAATGTGGTTTGATAAACATCCATAAAATCATTTTATGATATAATTTATCAAAAAGTTCGAATTCCAATCAAATTTTACTTTATTTTCATCAGAATTATCAACCTTTACTTTACTACTTATGTAGATATACTTTCTACACAAACAAATCTCGCCAAATGGCATCACCACAAATGTGGTTGGATACAAATCCATACATTCATTTATGATATAATTTATCAAAAAGTTCAAATTCCAATCAAATTTTACTTTATTTTCATCAGATTAATCAACTTTTATTGTACTTTATATGTAGAAATACTTTCTACTTTAACCAACTCGCCAAATGGCATCACCACAAAACGATTCAAAAAACATCCATAAATTCATACTATGTGATAAATTTATCAAAATACTTCAAGTTCCAATCAAATTTTCCTTTGATTTCATGAAAATTATAAACTTTTACTTTAATATATACCAAGAAACACGTGCACTTTCTACAGAAACCAATCTTACTAAATGGCTTCATCACAAATGTAGTTGGACAAACATCCATAAATTCAAACTCGTATGATAAAGAACCCACTTTCTACTTTAACCAACTCGCCAAATGGCAACACCACAAATGTAGTTGGATAAACATCTATAACATCATTTTATGATAAAATGTGCAAAGCATTCGAATCCAATCAATTTCTATTTCATATTATCAGCAAAATAATGAAAAAGAATCTTTAATAAATTGCCAAATGACAATACCATATTTATAAGTGGTTGGAAAACATTCATAAAAGCATGATATGCTAAATTGTGCCAAAGTTATTCAAATTCAAACCCAACTCAATATTATTTCAAACAGAAATATTAATTTTCATTTGACTATTTCTGTACTTCTCATTGTCTACTAAAATCAATCCCGCCAAAAACCAAACACCACAGATGCGTTATGATAAACATCCATAAAATATTTTATGTTAAGCTGGGTTAGAGTTGGAATTCCGCTCAAATTCTATTTTTGTTTTAAATTAAAAAATAACAGCTTTTAAATAGCTACAGTATTATAAAAATCACTTTCCACTGAAAACTAATTTCAATCAAAGTAAATACTCCAAAAATTATTGCCAATTAATAAACATTCATTAAATCATTTCATTATAAAATTGAAATATATCAACGTTATCAAAATTCAAATCTTCCAAACACTACCAAACAAGAAAATTGTGCAAAACAGCTCATGAAATTAATATTCAGAAAAAGTTGAATTCAATTTTGGTGAATCATTTTTAAAATTAGAATTCATTGACAAAATTTCCTTTTTACTCAAAAATCAAAACCGACAAAAATTCAGTTTCTGTTATCAAAACTTTTTAGTATTGAAACCAAATACTTAAATCTCTTTTTCTAGATAACTCAATCAAGCCAATTAACAACACCGCAAATATTACAGAATTATCATTCATTTAAATATTTTATACCATCTTGATCTTATTTACTTTTTTTTTTTTTTTAAATTAATACTCAATTGATAAATTTCAATTCTAAGTAGATAATTCAAATGAGACCTCAGTTTAACTACAATGAAAATCAAAATGCAAATATTCTAAACCTTTAATTCTCTTACGCAAAGCCGTACCTGTCCAGCATTAATCACAAGACAAGTAGAACTCGTTTTCTTCTATAAAGTTTATATGTCATTAATACATATACTTGGTTAAAAGATACCAAACAAAAAATATCTATGCCCCATACTCTACTATATAGATTCATGATTGAATAATCTACTAAAATAAATCGAAAAACGAATTATTATACTCAAAGTTCAGAATATGAAATGCTTCTCTTTTCCATTGTGATGGAGTCTGCATTGAATTTAACTTTCAATTGGCATAACGCAAAGAAAAAATCTACCATACTTCTCTGGAGATCTTAAAATCACATTCTTCATTATACTCATCGTGATACCAACCCCAACATGTAACTACCTGAAACATAAGAATATACTGTTTTCTCTTCAATATATCTAAAACTTTTTATTTTAGTAGCACATTTGACAAAATGGCAAGAAACTGAAATTGAAAAATAAATTCAAACAATTTTAATTTATCGATATTTTCTATACTTAGGAAATGTCCATGTTATAATGCTGATGCATTTAGGACGTTTTAAAATGATAAGCAAATATATTTAATTGAATATAAATGCAAATATAATATCTTATAAATTCTATACTTGTATTAATTGAAAAATAAAAGAAAATTATCGTAAAGTATTTGTTTTCCTTTTCAGAAACACCAGTTTTCTTCCTTTAACAAATCCATCTTTCTACAAAACAAATTATCTATTTCTGGAAATAACTTCTATTATCATATACTGACGAGAATTAACGAATCTCATAATTTAATACAATCATATATTTGTTTTCAAATTCTCTATATTACAAACCTTGTTATCGCTAATTTACTACTTATTCAAAAACTGATCAATTGTATTCTCAAATGAATACTTATCTTATAAAAACAAGATCTAAGATGGATTTTCTTTGATGACCTCGTTTTCCACACTGTCAAATCTCTCTCCAACTCTATTTTCTGTGATTTCATATCATCTACAATGGCTAAACATGTCGATGAACCACGCCCTACGCCACTTCGTTCTGCATCTGGGGCCCGTTTTACAAAAGGACTTACGACTTAAGACCAAGTTTAATTATTCATATAACTTTTTAATTGACATTAATATCGAAAAATATTTTAAACTTTATAAAAAGAATGTGGTGAGATATTTTTACATAGACATTTTCAAGGAGAATAATTAATTTTGCATAATTTTACAGTAATCTGAAGTTTTTGGTCTAAGTCGTAAGTTCTTTTGTAAAACGAGCTCCTGAGATTTAAACTTTATCGTGCTCTACGTTTCGTCCTAAACTGGTATTTAAACCACTATTCACCTCTTATATAGCCTTGCTAACGAGACCGGTTCTAAAGAACCACGTAATATACACCAGGTATTCGAATGAAAACCTTGTAATTTCGAAAAAGTAATTCATTATCACACCAAGTAGATATTGATTTCTGTCTAATTCGTTCCTCAAACGAAAGAAATCATATTTTCCTCGACCTGATGAACAAGAATAGGGTAACTAAAAATGAAATACTGAGGGGAATTCTAACTAAAACACAAATATAGATAACGTAAAACATGATACATGTACTGAAACAAAAGTAAATAACTGAAAATACATGAAAATACGAAAAATAAAGATTAACCAAACGAATATAGATTATAACTAAAGAAAATAAATATGTGAGAAAAATAAATCTGAACAGAAAACCAGGAGAAATTCTTCTTAAATTAAAATAATTAAAACAAGTCCAGGTCAAAATGTGGGGAATCACTCGATTTCATTGTCCATTAACACCCGATTTTCGTTACCTTAATTATAAAGTCTTACTGCCTGTCGGCCCTGTTGGGCTCAGTCGAGAGGGGACTGATGGGCTGGTCCTGGTAGGGCGCAACCTTCCTCCTCTTTCCCGACACCAAGGTAAACTCGTCTTCGTCCTCATCGTCCGCGACCATCTCACAGTCCCCCCAGTTCGGGAAGGACACCTCAGTGTCCCCCTGGGACATAAGCTGAGTCCCACTCAGGATTTCCTGGACCAGTGAGTCACCCCTGGACTACCCCTCAGAGGAAGGGCTCTCCTGGCCCCCCTCATCTGTCTGTGGGGGTCAACCGGTGTTGACCCCTCCCGAGGATTGCTGACCTCCTCTGTCTGGGCAGGGGAGTCTGAGGGCTTCTACTGGGGAGTACCAACGGCCCCGCTGTCCTTGTGACTCTCCTGTCCCCCCCCCCCGACTTACCAACAGCCTGACTGTCACTGTTTTCCTCCTGAGCCTTGCTGACAGGCTCAGTATGCGGGGGCTTACTAACGGCCCTGTCAGTACTAGTATTTTCAGGCCTGCTAACGTACCTACTCATACTTTGGGTGGCAGGCCTACCAAAAGCATGTGACTGGGCTGCCGCCGAAGCATAGCTTCGGTGCCCAGCCATCATCCTGATACCGTGGGAGCAATCTCCCCTCAGGTGATCCACCTCTCCGCACTTAAAACATACGGGAGGTCGACAGGGAACAACAAACAAGCGTCTGTATTCGTAAACTGATGTCAAGCACGGAATGTGTTCCTGGTCTCCCTCCCGCATAGTGATCTGCGCTGCCCTTACACCTGTAAGGATCTCTCCATCCTTCAGAAACTCAACTTTATCTACTTCCCCATAGCGTTCTAACATTTTACTGATGTCCTCACTTGACACCCAGATCAGCAGCCAGTGAATTTTCAAATTCAAACTGATTCTGTCACACGCCTCTAAGCGGATCCTCAGGTTCCGGTCTTCGCAGAAGAACTGCTCTCCATCGTACTTGTCTACGGGCTTCTTGTTATCAAAGGTCACAAACCAGGTGTCTTGTCTCTCCATCTGCCAACAGGTGTCTTGTCTCTCCATCTGCCAAATACCGATGATACTACGTAGGCCCAGGAATTTCGTAATAAAAGAAGTAACATCTCGTCTCGTCATCTTCTTCTGTGCCGTTCTCTGGGTCAACTTCAGCGTATGTTCCATCACCACACCTTGAGAACAGTCCAGCACCTCCCTCGTGAAAAAGGGACCCCGGGATTAGGGTGCCCCCTGCTTGTTTAGTGAAACTCACACTACATGCAAGACCA